CAATGCAATGGCCAACCCTGCAGCAGCGGTGCTGTGCATGTTGTTGCTCAACCAGCCTAGCAGGGGAGGAATGCAGGAGAAGGCTCCACTGGCTGCAACAATCAGACATCCGTAGCGCGCATGGAAAGACTCAGCCGGAAGGACGGCCGATGCCAGGAAGCCGATTGCTCCGATAGTAGCCAGGACAGCTGAGTGCAACGCGCGGGCATTGAAGTAGTCCGATGACCAAGCTGTGACTATCGAAACAACGTATGCCACGGCGTAAGGTGGTACTGTCATTAGCTGCGCCTGGAGGTTCTCGTAGCCCAACCCTGCAGTAATCGTCGGAGTGAAGAGAGAAAGCGAGCTGAATGGCGCTGAGATGCCGAAGTAGATGATGTAGTGCACCCAAAGTCGGCCGTCAAGTAGCGTTGCCTTGGCGGTTTCCCAGTTCAACGACGGCGCATCACCTTTTGATCCTTCTTTCTCGAGACGTGCGACTGCTAGTGCGCGATCGGATGTCGATAACCAAGAAGCTTCCTCGGGATAGTCGGGTAGGAAGAGCCACACGGCTACTGATGAGACGCAGGAAGGAATGCCTTCGAGGATGAATAGCCACCTTTGTAGAAGTCAGTATCGCCCTCACATGCGTACTATGCATCAAGACTCACCTCCATGCGGAAAGACCCTGGACCTGCTTCATATGCCCAACGCCATACGCAATCGCGCCTCCAAAAGCACCCGCGAGCGTCGCACTCGCCAAGATAATAGCAACACGCATACTCCTCTCTTGCGCACGATACCAAAACGTCAAATAGTACACCAACCCCGGAAACAATCCCGCTTCAAACATACCCAACAAGAACCGCACAGCGGTAACAGTCGCATAGTTGTTCGCGCCACCCAGCCCAATCGTGCACGCGCCCCAGCCAAACATGAGAAAAGCAATCCAGCGACTGGGTTTCAATTTCTTCAAGAAGTAGTTGCTGGGTACTTCGAACACGGCGTACGCGACAAGGAAGACCATGAGCGCAATGGTGTATTGGTAGTTTGTCATGTTGGCTTCTTGCAGGAGGGATTCTCCGGCGTTGGCATTGAGGGTTTTGGCATTGCCGATGTTGGATCTGTCGAGGAAGCAGAGGAGGTAGATTCCTGCTGTGAGGGGGATGATGCGAAGGTCTTGTTTCCAAACTAGGGCGCGAACTGCTGCGGTGTCGTAATTCTCTGGTGCATCGCTGTGTTGGGAGTCCTGAGAGTTTTTGGAGTCCTGTTGACAGTATTAGAAAGCAAATCATGAACATCGCCGAATGAATTCATACCGAAACTCTCTGCAAGTCTTTCTCGCACGCCTCAACATCGTTCCGAAGCGCCATCTTGCCGTCCGCCTGCCCGTTTTCTCAGAAAAGACAATGTCGCAACGCAAACAGAGAAGCAGCAAGCAAGGCTGCAGACGAAGCAATATGCAAAGACATTGGCACCATCTTAAGCGCCACCAAGCAAATGCTTAAATCGCTTACCGCCCTTCCGCTTACCATCTGTTGACCCTTTGGATTAACGGAAGAAGGAAGGGATGAGCGGGCTAATGCGGTTTCATCAGTAAGCCCCGCGCTGGAGAGAAGTTATGACTAGCCGAATGGCCCGAATCCCCAACGATGTGCCTGACAGCGCGTTATCTCAACAAACTTTCGACGAAGTAGAGCTCGGGAGATGCGCACTCATGCCAGACTACAATGTGGTCTTGTTTCGCGCTAGGTATTAGAGTTGTACATTGATGTACGAAATACGAGGTGTTTCGCGACAGAGTCGAACGCGTCATCGCGGTACCGTGGTGCTGGCTCTTTATTACGATACCTCTTATATGCGACTTTACGGACCGATCGGTCACCGAAGTCGAAGGATAATGTGTCGCATAGTCCAGTTTCGTCTCTTTCACAACTATAATCACATGGAAACGGGTTTGCTAGACCGAGGCTTTCTTTCAACAAGCTAGATTCGATCGAGGTACACATCAGGGCAAGCTTGCCGCAAAGAACGAACGGAAGATCTGAAATCAGTTGAGTGCCTCTGGGTGAGTCGTTGTATTGCTGTGATGCTACTCTATCTATTACAGGCCCTTCGGATATTATCATAAGCTGCTTTGTCCACGCACCGAAGAGCTTCTCTTGGATCTACTCGCCCAGGTTCTGCTGGAAGAACGCGGTGAGCCTGTTAAACGGGATCAAGTCGACGCGATCGTACAGGTCTACATGCCCGGCGCCCGGAATCCAGATCAGCTCCTTCGGTTCTGCAGCAGCGTCGTATGCGTCCTGACTGAACTCGCGAGAATGTGCTATGTCGCCGGAAATGAACATCACTGGACGGGGAGAGATGCTATCGAGGTCGCTGAAGGGGTAGAAGTTCATGAACTTGGTCTGGCTGGAAAGCGTCGGGTACGTGGTGAGGTTTGGCGCTGATCCTGCAGGTGTGAACTCTCCGCGAGACGTGCGATAGAAGTCGTAAAACTCGCGTCCCACTGGATCGGTCTCATTGGTGACTGCCTGAGGAGTTCCGCCGGTGTACTCCGTCTCTCCACCACTGGCTTCAACCCAGCGCTGCGCCGCCGCGGTCGCGATGACCTGCTTACGCTGTTCGAGGCTCTGAGCTCGCTGTAGACCGTTGCGGGTTACTGCGCCCATATCGTACATGCTTGCTGTTGCGATAGCCTTTATACGCGGGTCGATTTTTGCTGCACTCAAAACGAATGAGCCGCTGCCGCAGATGCCAATGGCACCAATTCGCTCGCGGTCGATGTAGTCCTGGAGGCCTAGGTAATCAACTGCAGCGCTGAAGGTCTCGGCGTAGACGTCAGGATGGACGACATTGCGCGGCTCGCCGTCACTGCCGCCCCAATACGAAACGTCGACTGAGATAGTGACGAAACCCTGCTCAGCCATCTTCGTAGCGTACAGGTTGGCGGACTGTTCCTTCACAGCCCCCATTGGGTGGCCAACAACGATGGCAGAAGCATTGATGGTGCGATCGAGGTTGTCGGGTAGAAAGAGGTTGCCAGCGACAGTCATCTGGTAGAGACTGGGGAAGGTGATCGGCCACATTGTGACGTTGTCGCTGCGGTAGAAGTTGTTGGCTCCATATGACATATTTTGTGCCGTAGCAGGAAGCATCTGAAGAAGGGCCACGAAGGCTACAGATGTGACGGCGGACAGCGGCATCTTCTGAACGTTGAGATGGTAGAATGTATGCTGAGTCGATTGGCGTGGATGCGAAAGCTATGTGTGATGCTCTTCACAGTCGCAACACACCGTTCTTATATCTCATCAACATGAGCTCCAGTAATTTGCACTGCCATGTCTTGCGTCACCCTATCTCATGGATATTGTGTTGAGACCAGGGCGTAGTGGGCGTTTCCCTCCGCCCTTCTCTCGCCGCTGAGCTTGGCATGCAAAGAGCTGACATGACGATGGCCGAGATATGGCGGGCAGCACGTCCGCGCACCAAGGTTGATAATGAGAAAGGACTCAGGACTCCTATACTAGTGTCGTTAATTCCTTGGTTGGCGCCAGGTCGATGGCAAGCAGAGATAGTAATCAAGGTGACTAGTACATCAGTAGAAGCAGGAGGTTCAGGATGACAAGACCAATGCAATTACCGTACGATGCTCAGCCACGATAGAAGGTGGTGCTTGCTGTTGCGCGTTCGATATTGCTTCTGTGAAAGTGACGTCTTGGCTCACTGCAGCCAGCTGACAGCCTTAAGTCCATCCGCCACTAAGTCGAGATAGGCTTAGCCTAAGGAGGCTGCACGTGCATCACAGCCCTGGGCTGGCCGTCGTCTACCAAGATTCTGTGCACGACCATCATCATCCTTTGATTTCATCATCGCAAGTCGCGGGGCTGCCAATATCCATCACAGACTATGCGCTGCTAGTTATCGCGTGCAAAGAAGCACGATCTCCAAGGCTCTCATTTCCCGAAGAGCTTTCCCGTCGAATCGCGTCCATGCAGCGGCCACTCCATCACGCTCGTTTCGCGTCATCCTTCGCTCTTTGACAAACCTCCGAAGACGATGCCCCAATGGCGTTCAACTCACGATAAGGCACCTGTCATGCGAATGGAGAAAGATTGTCTTCGATCAATGAGACCTTCAGCGCTTTGTACAACAAAGTAACAATGCCACCTGACGATACGTATCAGAGACCCTTTACGCTACATTCACAGTGCACTTGAATGGATAGTTTTAAGTCGCGCGCGCAAGTTTACGATCTGCAGACCAGAAAGCCCCTCCTGTACCGAAAACAGACTTCCTAGCCGAGCATCATCAACATCATGGCTCCTAACTTCATCGCAGAGCGCGTCGAGCCTTGTCAAGGCCTACCAGTCCATATCCTGATGTGCGGCCACACTATTCAAGCCTCTTTCCTACACCTGAAAGAGTCGTCGAAATGCGCACCGAACTGCAGAGACGTCAACATATGCACGCACGCCGAGCCAAACTTTCTCTGTCCTACATGCTATGCGTCTGAACATCACCACAAGTACCGCAAATTCATGGATGACTGCAAGGCCCAGGATACGAAAGGCCTATATCCCGAGAATCTATACCGTACTATAAAACGTACCGACGGAGTTTATAACGCACTTGACGATTTCGAAAACCAAGAGCATTCGCTCTGGTGCGAAGTGGGCCTGGGGAAGTTAAAGTTTGAGAAGGCTGTGGTCATCAGCTACAAGAGGAAGATTGAAGCTAAAGGGCTGAGGGAATGCAAAGTTGTGGATGAGTGCGCATAGTATGTTGATTGGGCATGAGATGGACGTAGCGCTGCCTTGACTGTGGTTTAGATCTAATGCCTGAGCTTTCAGACTGCGCCATCTTTGTTTCAGGTATTCTTTGCTATAAAAAATACAACAACTCCGTCACGGCATACATCTTCTCCATCATCATCGATCTCATCAAAAATGGCTAGCTTCTTCGGTGACCAGCTCTTATCGCTCGTTTTTCAAAAATTTAACGGGACAAAATCATTATCAAGTCCTATCCTCGTAACGTAAATCCCAGTTCGCCTTCGTCTTCTCCCTATCGTACTCCTTCCCCGCCCAGGGTGTACCACAAACGTGCAAATGAGCGTACGGCGTTTTGTCGAACATGACCCAGGCACCCTGGTCGCGAATCGTATCCGGAAACCCATCTCGTTCCGCTTCAAAAGGCCACAGGATCATATAGTGCGGCCCGATTGGAATAGCCGGGCTCGTTCTGTCTGCCGGGTTCGTGGTAGTGTGCTGATTTGCTCCGCACAACATGTATATGAGACCTGGCGCAGTGTTCGTGGGTGCCGGCTTAGCGGCATAGGCATCTTGGATCCACTGGAGACCCATGGGGTCGGCGCACATCGGGACATTGCCGACTGTGTTCTCGTTTCCGGGGAAGGCTGTCCAGTGGTTTGTTCCTTCTCGTAGTATGACTAGTTTCCGATCGGGGCCCCAGTGGCTCCAGTCGGCGATGGTGGCATTCTTGGTGATGGATATGGGTCCAGACGCCAGAGCCCTGTTGATCTTGCAAGCTAATGCTTCTTCTTCTGGGGTGGGTATTTCGCCTTCTCCTCGAGGGGTCAGTGGGTTGGGCACGCAGCACTGGAAAGCGCTGTTGTATACGAAAGAAGCCATATGTGAATGTTGGGAATGTGGTGTATCATTTCTCGATACTGTAGGAACATGACAGTCTATATACCTAGCTAGTCACCGGGATAGAGAAGGTTTGAACCGTTCTGATGGGTACATAGTTACTAATGATCGCGCCCGAATGCTTATGTCGAGTGACCTCGGATTTCAGTGCGAGAAGCGGGGACTGCAGTGGTCGAAAGTTCATGACTATTGCGACATCCGTCGATCCGTCATATCGACCGACGCGTCCTTGCGAGGATAGGACCTTGTGCGACACGGTGGCAACAACGGTGCAGTCTTTTCATTGCGCTGGTGCCGACAGTACGCAATATAGACAAATTGCGCGTTCTTTGCCTCGAGTTTTGGAGAGCGCGCGACGACGCGATGTTTGATGTTTGGGGCATGCAGACGCGTGGACGCGTGCCTCCATGGGCAGGTACGCACAGGCCACATCGCTGTGCGAGCGGAAGTCCGGGTACACCTTCATTGCTGTTGACTTGCAACATGCACCAGACAGATCGCAAGTCTAGTCGCCCAGCAAACACCGCTGTCTACTAACACATGAGAAAGTCCAGTATCTAGATCTCTACTACTGCCATCGCTAGCATGCAGCTAGGCGATGATCGCCAGGGAGGGGTCAGCGACTGACGTAGACACCATCGAACACCTCTAACAGCGTGACGACTGATACGACTAACATGACCTCGGGAGATTGAATGGGCATAATTTAAGGCCGTAAACGGTCTGAAATCCCTCCGTACCTCACACTTTACGCTTTACTCCACAGAATGACCCATTACCTAGATATGATTCTGCTGAGTAACACGGTACACAGAATCGAAGCTAGCGCTTACCAACAAGATGCTATGAAATGCCTAGGTATAGAGTGCCCCAGATTACTGATCGAATTCACTTCGAATTTCTTCCACATCGTGATGCTTACGAAACATTGAAGCTGCGTAGCTATCCAACGTACCTTCCATAACCTCAGCTGTCCTTGCTCATATGGAACACAAATCCATCTTTTCTTATTACAAACAGAAGCGGGACGACCCATCTTACCTACAGCTTCTATCACACTCTCAAAATACAGACATCGGAAGCGCAACGGCCATGACCAACAAACCCATCGCCATCATCGCGGGTGTCGGCTCAGGCACCGGCGCATCCCTCGCTCGCCACTTCGCGAAGTCCTACCCCGTTGTCCTTCTAGCTCGCAATCCATCTAACTTTGATGCTCTTGCCGAAGAAATAAACAAGTCCGGTGGTGAGGCTATCGGCATTTCCACGGACGTCAGCAGCGAAGAGAGCGTCAAGAACGCGTTTGCGAAGATCAGAGAAGTCCACGGCGGGGCGCCTGTCGCAGCGATGATCTTCAACGCAAGTGCAAGGCCGTCTAGGAAGCCATTTCTGGAATTGACGACGGAGGAATTTGGAATGGGGTGGGAGGTTAGCGTGTACGTTATTCTGAATGGAGTTTATGTCGTTCCAATGTCGACATGTACACAGTACTAACAAATCTCAATCGTGTAGAAAAGGAGCATTCCACATCGCCCAGAACGCCATCCCCCTCCTCCTCACGCACGTACAGTCCAACCCGCCTGCCGGCACCTACCCACCAACCCTTATCTTCACGGGTGCGACAGCCAGCGTGAAATCCAACGCCCAAATGTCATCTTTCTCGACCGGAAAGTTCGCCTTACGCGCTTTATCCACGAGCCTCGCCAAAGAATTCGGTCCGCAAGGTGTACACGTCGCGCACGCGATCATTGATGGTGTGATCGATATCGAGCTTACGAAGAAATACATCGAGGGGAAACCGGAAGAGGCGAGTATTGGGAGTGACGATATTGCAGAGGTTTACTGGGGGCTACACACTCAAGGACGAAGGGGCTGGGTTAATGAGGTTGATGTGAGGCCTATGCTGGAGAAGTGGTAGAGGAACTATTGAAGTAGAGATGGCCAGAGTAGTGTATTACACCATGAACATTTGACCCAGCAAGAATGAGGCTGTTTGCGCAGTTGATCTGCCGTTGGAAGGCAGATTGCGGGGTAATGCTGCAACGAGGCCGTCAGGCAAACATCGTCAACGTCTAGCAGCCTTGCTCTTTTAAGGCACAAAAATAACAAAAAGAATAAAAAAATCGAATCTACTCAGCCGCGGTGCGGGGGCAGCGAGGTACATAACCAGGTTGCACTCACACTCTTACTGCTGGTTGTGGGGATCACTCGGCGGCTCGTCAAATTCTTTTCTCGGCTTGTTCTAAACTTCATGCGGACCCCCGAAACGCAGTACTTTATAGAACGGCCAAAAAGAAGACGAAGCCCATGGGGATCGAACCCACAACCTGAGAAACTGTTAGATGGTGCTGGAATGGGAGGTGATTGGTGAAATGTACCTTTGGTGTTTATGCTTTCTGACCGAAAACCAACGCGCTACCATTGCGCCAAGGCTCCGAATATATTTCGATAGAGAAATTCTCAAATGCAACGTATATAGTCTCAGTCGTCAGAATGCTGCAGCGGTTTCAAAGCGGGTCTTTTCGACGTAAAACGCTCGATCAAGGAAGAGCCAAGCAGTCTTCCCATAGGACGTGTGCTGTCTTTGCATGAGGGGCAGTGTGCGTCGTGCTAATGCTTTGACACATCACTACGCCCCACATCGGACCACAAACTTCGTGTGGCTGCGTAGCTTCATGCGAATCACTGGCAAACTCAGAACAGAACGGTTTTACGTCGTTTGGATAGCAGAGTCGCTAGACAAGACATTTATTGCTTACAAGAAAGTCTTACACAAACACTTCCACGTGCGTGGAGTTTTCCAGACGCCAAACCTATGCAATCGCTAATCAACACGACATGTACGCCAGACTAAGAACAGTGTACAAGCTCTCAATTCCGCGGCTTCCTCCACAGCTCCTCCGGGTCCAGTTGCCGTGTTGGAGACACTCCACTACTCGGCTGCGAGTACTCAATACCACATGCGCCGCGATCCAAAGCAAGCGTGTTCAAGTTCCAATGGAGCTGCTCATCAGGATCTGTCGCCAAGCTCGTTCGGGTACGTCCCTGAGGCTGGTATTGTGCTTGCTCGGCGTTTGAGTTATTTGACGCCATCAAAGAAAGAGATAATGTGTCAAGCTCGGTCGCAAAGTCCATCTCCTCTTTGCTAGCTTCCAGGGCAGAGCAAATGTTGCTCGGTCGTGTTTTTGCTTTAATTTCCAACTCGTATACTCGCTGGTCGCGCGAGAACTCTGCTTCGAGCTGTCGGTGCTCGGCATACCATTGCTCGTACTGCTCTTTACTCATTTGACCCATAGGAGGGTAGGTCGCGTTATGCGCCGCTTGCCGTTGCTCCCAAATCTTCGCGGCTTCTGCTTGGATGCATTCGTTACATATAAAGGCAGCGTCAACCGTGTCGCCATATGGATCGATGCAGTTTTCGCCACAGTCCTCAACAAGGTCTGTTCGGATGCGGTGAGAGCAGAGTAGCTGGTGATAGAGACGACCTTGGCACGGCGCAAAACGCTTGGTCCGGATGTTGTTGAACGTAGAGGCGGGTATTTGTTGCGAGGTAGATGAAGAGGCGAAGGGGTTGTTTGCTCCTTCGTCCGGGGTGCTCGTCCAGCCCCATCGACATGCCATTACGAGGTTTGCATGAGACATGGTGTCGTCGGAGACTTTAGAGTTCGGCATAGCCCTAAAGGCACTGTTCGAAAAATCCATAATGAGGTTGATCTCCAAGTTGTGCTTTTGAAGTTTGCAGAAGATATGCAGGTGGCGTCAGCTGACAACGCGTGGTTGCCTTGAGTGATGGTATTGATTGGTTCTTCGAAAGTTACACAGTATCGAAGTGATTGATGTTGTGCGATTCCCGACGCGAAAGTGATCAAGGTCTGCGTTGAATAATCGGCGCTGTTCCTGTGGTCGCGTGGAGGTGCATCGTGTGTGCACAGAGCGCTAACAGAGTGTGACGCTAGCTATCGCAAGGCGTTCACTCTATGGTCCCCGGCAGTGAAAGGTGTATTGGCAACTCTGGTGAAGCGGGCCGATAGTGATGTGTCGTACGAATGTGCTGCTGAATCCTCGACGGATGATGTGCTGCTGGGATGGGCTGCGATAAAACGTGGTGAGTCGTCGCGCGACGCGCTGCCTGGGTGGCCAAAGCTCGCGATAGACGCTAAGCCTTGTTCGGGCCGATGACGATATGGAACCTTCCAGTATCTCGCCAAGTCAACATCCAGCCACTCACCAGCCTTCACACATGTATCACGAGTAATTCTGATTGAGACACTGAGGAAAAGCAATTTGAAGAGGGGAACTGTTGTCTCAGCACCTGTACGCGTCGTCATCCAGTGAGGTGACGGGAGAAGGGGGTGGCAAAGAAGCAAAACAGGGGGACCAATCGATGCACAATCCTGCTAATCATCTCTATATCCAACTCACTACCCTACAATCTCCAGTTTCCAAGTCTCTAGATCAAGAATCTGAAACCTCTCTCGGCACCAACCCCAGGGACAGCGTTGATTGCTCCTTCAACGTGTTCTCCACGAGCAAGTTTCTTGTTTAGCCGCCCCAGTATAATGCGCATAATGACCGCCATGATAATGGCCAGTGCTGCAGTTGCGCAATCCACACTCAGGGGAACTGTCAAATCCGCCGGACCACTCTTTGGCTGAGGATACATGTAGCTTGCATAAATCGAGCTCGTATTACTGATCGCGTTGATGAAAGCCAGTGCAGCCGCCCTCTTCGCTGGCGGACGAGGCAGAGAGTTGGAGATCCAGGCCAGAGCTACGACGTATCCAGTATATACACCAGGTACCATGAGCATCATGGCGACGTAGCGAGGTGCTGTTGCAGTCGTAGCGGCGGCAAGGATGAAGGCTGCTACGCCGACGCAGAGAGGGAGGACGATGTGGAAGAACCGTTCGCCGGTGCGGTCGGCATGCCAGGCGTTGAGGTAGGTGGTGATGACTGCGAGAACATAAGGTGGCGCTGTTAACAGAAGTGTCTCGATGTTTGGGTATCCTAGCGTCTTGACCACCGTTGGGAAGAAGTTGGTAACACTGGCCGAGGATACGTTTGCTAGAAGCATGATTGTAAGCACCCAAGTCTTGATATCGAGTAACGCAAGCTTTAGACCGTGGAAGAAGGTTTGTGACTCCGCCGAGACCCAGTCGTCTTCGCCAACGTCTTCCTGGAGCCTGTAGACGGCGAGTTGGCGTTCTTCCTCTGTGAGCCAGGAAGTTGTTCGAGGGAAGTTGGGTAGGATCCAGAAGGCGCCGAAGGCAATCGCGACGGTAATGATACCCTGAAGAATCAGCTAACATCCCAGACACCCGGCTCAGCGCGTGCGATACTTACCTCGATTATGAACACCCAACGCCACGCTCTCAAGCCCTGCGTGCCATCCATATTACTCGTGATCCCCGCGGTGATGAGCCCACCGAAGGCACCCGAGATCAAACTTCCAGAGTAAAGAACCGCCGTTCTCAGACCCAGCTCCTTCCTCGTATACCAAGCGCTGAGGTAGAACAGACATCCTGGGAAGTACGCGGCCTCGATGAATCCAAGGAAGAAACGACACACCACCAGTCCAGCGAAGTTCTGGCATGCCGCGGTAGCGCCCGATATGATACCCCAAATGATCATGCACGTCGGGAGGTAAATGGCTGGTTTTCCTGTCTTGTTGAGAAATAAATTCGATGGGATCTGCATCAAGATATAGCCCACGAACAAAATGGAGACGGTTGTCTAGTCAAGTTAGTGAGAAACTTGCTGGTGATTTCAGCAATCACATACTTGATACTGCACACTCGTGAGTTCCAGCTCGTCTTGAAGACCTGCTAGGCGAACGGCAGCGATATTGTTCCTATCGAGGTAATCTGGGCATTATTAGCGCTGCCCACCCGCGGCCATCTACCAAGACATACTCATGATGTACATCAGGATGATCATCGGCAACAATCTCGTATCGATCTTCCGTCGCATCCTCTTCTCTGCTTCAATCCTTTCCTCGGCACTCATAGCAGCCACCAACGGCGGTGGGACCAGCTTGCGATGCCCATCGATGACCCCATTTCCTGCTTCCAGAGTAGTAGGCGCGATTTTGTCATCCGAGATATGCTCGATCGAAGGTTTTCGGTCGTCGGCCATTGTCGTGCGCGTCGAGCGAACTATGCGATTGTCGATTCAACGTGGGCAATGCGACAGCGTCAAGCTGAAATGCGGTCAAGGTGAGGGTGCAGCGACAAGAGACGACAAGCAACACTGCGGGGCCCCAAGCTTCCACTTATATGAAGCTTGCCCGTACTCCCAAGCATCGACAGGGGTAGCTCGCGCCATGTACATCATTCAACGACCGTCATGCGACGAAGACATACACCAGCGCACACCCATACCACCTAGCCGAGGGACGGTTGCCGACAACCGTGCAGGAATGTCGGCCCGCTGTAGAGATCAACACCTCACGGCGACCTGACAGCACATATGATTCGTCAATTGGGCTATCATTTAGTCGTAGTAATATGCTGATGCAACGGTGTTCATGTGACGCGGGCTGCGCGTGGTTTAGTGGGTTCGTGTTGGAGGATAAATCGACATGCGGGGTGAAGATCGACCGAAGCGTCATAGTTGGCGTTACGAATCCGGGGTAGCTGAACGGCTTATTGCACGGCAACTGCAAGCGACACACCCTTTTTTCTTCCATCACCATTCTCATCGCCGACTTCGCGGCCTCCATGACTTTTCGCTTCTCTTGGCACCTTGAGTACGTAGTATAGCTCGGTTTGGCTAAGGTCAGCGCTGCCTCCACTGCTCATGGCGCGAGCACCCCGAACGGTCACCCTGGCAGCTACAAGGGGCGACAAGCTCTATCCACGACTGCAAAAGCTCTTATGCAGTCACCACGGGGGGATTTTGTTTTGAGATGGTTCAATTGAGCTACACAGGGCGAGCCATAGAGCAGACAATGAGACACGCCTGTCGAATGGCACATGTCATGAATCGCATTACCCTCGTTTGTGTCCCTCTATGCTAACAAAGATTCATCCGTGGTCACACCGCAAAGCGCAAGGTAAAGGCAGGTAAGATACTCGCTGCCTACGTCGGGCTCCGCATCTTCGCAAACGGCCAGATATAAGATATCAATTTACCCAAGTAACCTTGACTTCTCAACTCTACTACCCAACAGTAGATTCAATCGCCATCACAAACAATTACCTCAACTCAGCCGCTCCCGACGCCAAGCATCCCAATACCAACTACAACATCATGCCCGCGGTACCAAAAGATCACTATCTCTGGACAGTAAGAATACAAGTTACACTCAATCGCCGTACCGAGTGCTAACCATGATAGGTCATCGTCCGAGGAAGAGATGGCCCTGTGAACAGCGCGAAAGCAGCGGAGGTCAGGGCCCTAGTCGCGGCAACTGCGGGATGCACCATCGTCAAAGACTTCAACCCAATGGAGGGTCACGGCTTCATGTATGGTAACCACGTCTCTTCCTCGAAGTCTCAAAGTAACAGTACTATAGCTACCACATGGCCAATACTGTTGAGTCAAACCCACTTCAAGAGTATGTTGGCTTGGACGCGCGTGCCCAAGTGCGACTGAAGCGCCATCGCAGGTCTGAAGAGTCCATGAAGGAAGGGATCGTAGACGTTTCACAGGTCGAGGAGGGCGCCGAAATTCCTTACATTGCTGCGGACCTGGAACATAGCGACCCAGACTAAGAAGTTTCGATCTATACAAAGCACGCAGCTTAGTTTCAGGTGGGCATGTTGGGGCAAGATCACGAGTTCTAGAGTGGGTGTCGATGCCAGTCATTCGATGAGGCACGACTGTAGACCTTCGGCTTCCTGGGCACCATGAAATAGAACCAGATTTCCTGCTAGGCTGCCATCATCTAATTGAGCGAATAAACGTTGGTAGAAGTCATAAGGGTACTGACCGTGTCGTAGCGCGAATGCCAACCACGGTTCTCGACGAGGCGCAGCCCGCGCGCCTGCTCTACAAAAAAGCCTGCACTTGCGTCCCAAAATTGTTTCCTTCATACCACTTTCAAACTCCCACTCAAATCTTTCGTCTATCACCCGCTCTACCAAGCAAATACATCCACAGTAGACGCAACCATGTTCAACGAAAAGGACATCCTCCCGGCCTATACCGCAACCGCGACCCCAGAGCTATCATGGCGTGTTCCAGCCACCAGCACGCGAACACCAGAACAGCAGTTCAAGTTGGACCTGGAAGCTCAGAAAAACGACGGTGAGCTCGCAAGGATCCAGGCAGAATTCGACGAAGAAACGCGAAAGACGAAGATCGACCTCGTCCTCCTTACCATCAAGCTCCTCATCTTCACTGTCGCGGCGGTGTATATCCTGGGGTTTATCGCTGACGTACTCGCTGCCTGTGCACCGCAAGTCAAGGCGGTGGTGAAAGCTACGCCAGCTGCAGAGGTATGTTTTAGATTGCAAAAGCACTTTTTGTGTGATATACTGATGCCGTCGTAGTATTGTCTCCCAGAAGGGGGTTGTTATACGCAAGAAGAAGTAGCATCTTTCGTCGGGGATTATTTCTCTGAACACAAAGAGGAGATTGATGAGAAGATTGATCAGGCGATCAGACAAGTCATGGGTCCATAGGTCCTCTTAATTTGCGTTGTGGCGCCGCGCATGCGTCGACGAGCACTTTATCGTAGGGTCCTTAGTGAAAGTTATAGGTCCAGCTGCTTGGTGCGGGTGCTTCGTAAAGCTTCGGGGAAGCAGTGAGGTTTCGTGCGTAATGACCATAACCTTCGTAACGTAATGAAAATCGATTGGACGTGAGCGTAGTGTGTCTGTGGTGGAGATATCGTGGGACGTCCTCGGCTGTTCTGGTGGTGGTAGTCCGAGGACTGGCGGTGGGTTAACGAAAGCTTCCTGCTTTGCCGAGGTCAAGAAGGTCTGATGTAGATGTCAGCGGGACCTTCCAGAAGGCATGCAATGGACAGATCTCACAGGTTCTATTGAACCAAGGGTCTCGTGTGCTTGCTGAATGTCTGCTTGCCATCCTGCAATTTTGTCGAGAAGCGGAGGCTCCGCCTTGTATCATGAGCGCAGCTCAAGGAGACTTTGCTGCATACGCGCTACTAAATGTTGATACGTAGATAGTCTCTGAGATGATGTAGACTTCTAGCTTCGAAATTCCCTTCCAGAATGCGATGGTATTTGTGGACCGAGTTTGAGCTTGACTCGTTGCACCACTCCCAATCGCATCCTCCCCACGACCCAACCAGCAGTCCCGTACCCTCTCATGGGTTTCAGATCATTCAATATGAGGTTGTTGCTTTCCGTGGCGGCGTCCATGGTATGACAAGACATGGGCGCCCTTGGCAGAGAGCATCTAGAGCAAATCGAGTAGACCACACATGAGTTCTGCCAACTGTTACCCCGACTGTGCACATGTTCCAACTATTTGCCCGCTCCGACTTGGCGATGCATCAAGTTTACTAAGCTACATGCTTAAGTCCGATGCATCGTGTAAGCTCAGTCAGCTTTCTTGTGCCCTGCCAAGACAATCGAGTAGCGCAATAGGAAAGAGTAGTAAAGCAACAGCGCTTCGAGCCAAGAAGGCGTAGGAGACCCAATGTATGGCCTTCAGGATATCGACGACTGCGGGTATGTGAGGATAGATAAAGCCGCGCATGTTGACAGTATTGTGGTAATTTACGGCGGATCTGTCTACCCCCCAGTATGAAGCTCACTACCATCATTAGCACTGTTGCATTTGCTGTACCAAAGTTCGCGTTCGCGCAATTATCGAATTTCGATGACTGGGAACACGAGCGCATCCAGCTTGACGACGTCTCGATCCACTTTCGATACCACGGCGAAGGACCGCCCGTCTTGCTCGTGCATGGCTTTCCCCAGCACTCGTTGACGTGGCATACCATCGGACCCATCCTAGCGCAAAACTGCATGTCTTCGCACATCATACTTGATGAGAGCATCGAATACTAATATGGAAGCAGACACGGTAATCGCCCCAGACATCCGCGGATGTGGCGACTCGTCTATCCCCACTTCGAAGAACTACACCGCTGCAGCCGCGAGTGCAGACCTCAAGGCCATCCTAGACTACCTCAACATCTCATCCACATATGTCTTCGCGCACGATAAGGGTGTAGGACTAGCGACTTCCCTCGCTATCGAACATCCTTCGCTCGTCAAAGCCATCATCCTCGCCGAATACGCTCTCCCAGGATATGGATATCCTTTAACCGTCCAGAGTCCTAGCTTATATCAGAACTGGCAGCTTGCGTTCTTTGCCGTGCCTGATGCAGCTGAGTTCTTCGTTCGAGATCGCGAGAAACAGATGTTGAGTTGGTATTTCTTTCATGCGAGTTATTCTGGTACAGCGGCTGTGAGTGACAATCATTTGCAAAGGTATACGAATGAGATTGCGAAGCCGGGATTTCTGAGGAGCGGTATGGAATACTTTGCGGCGGCGTGGGATGACGAGGCATACTTTACTTCCATTTTTGGAAGTGGACATAGGTTGCAGATGCCGTTGTTGGCGCTGGGTGGTGAGGTGAGCTTTGGGCCTGTGTCGCTGTTGGAACAGGTATGGTCGCAGATCGGCGATGACATTGTCGCTGAGTCGATCCCGAAGGCTGGGCACTGGATTGGTGAGACCTTTTTCTTGGGTAGCATCTCAGCTATAGCAAAAGAGCTAACGACGGTACAGGCGATGAGAATCCGATTTGGACTGGTAATCGCGCCTTACGCTTCTTTGAAGAAGCTGGGGAGGTGAGCAGTGTTGATCTGTCCTACCTCAAAGACCAAGTGACTCTGCAAGGTGGTACCATCTGATAAGAAGCGGGCGCAATATTTCAAGATCGCGATACGGCATAGGAGGAGTTTGAAGCACATGTAGAAGGATTGTTGGGTATCGCGCTAAGGTAGCATTGGTATCATGTACTAGGACTTCCTTCGAGCCCACTACGACGGCGAAAGTCTTGCAACCAATTCGGATTGTCTGCTACTGTTTGGTTCCACTAGGGTACACGTTAGCATTTGTCTGGTATATAACGGGTCATTTCGCTTCCTCACCGCATCATCTGCATCCTGATATAACAATCTCCGGGACTCGCGTTGAAACATCTCATCCGTCGGTATAATACCCGACAACATCTGCTGTCTCGCAAAGCGACTAAGATGGCGCGTCAAAACCTTCGCAAAGTCATAGTCGTGCTGCGTAGAAAGGTTTCGAAGAGCCTCTAAAGAATCTTCAAAAGCTTGATGGTCAGGTGTCTGAGTGACTTCTTTCGGCGACTCCTGTACTGGCTCTTCTTCCCGTTGAAACTCTTCCCGTTGGATCTGCGATATCATCTGCTTTGTATGGTCGATGGATCCGGGGTTCGTGGCAGAGAAGGGTACAACGGTCTTCGCTTGTTCGGCAAGTAGGTAGGGCGGAAACGCGTTGATGACACGGGCAGCGACAGCTGGTTCGAAATCGTGATCCCCTTTCCAATCGGCCATGGTTTTGCCCTCTTTGAAATGTGCGGCGAGGTGGTCTGCTCTCTCATCCCAGCTACTTAGATTGGTGTTGCATATACCACAGCGACATTTTACTGGCAGAGTCTCAAGTTTCCAGTCGTCGATGAGAGGTAGTGTTTCCAGTCCGTGGACTAGACGAAGGTGCTGTGTGAGGTGATCTTTGCGGTGGAAAATACGCGGGCTGTTATTGCCGTCCGTGCATGCCGCATGATTGTGTTTCTGCAGATGCTGGGGTGTTGGATCCAGTGCACTACAGTAGGCGCAGTGTACTCTACCCGTAAGAGGTAGCACCACAGAAGCTCCGTGCGGCGTGCACATCCAGCTTTCGAGGTTTAGATGCAGCGATATCTCGTGTCGCTTCCAGTCGTACTTGTGCTTGAAGGTGTCGCAGCAGAAGGTACACTTGAATATACGATCAGGGTCCAGCATGTTGCCCCTGACTCTTCCCTTGCTTCTTGTCTTGGCTTGACTGCGACGCTTCGATTGCGACGTGGCGGAGCGGCTCGAATTCGCGGATCGTAATGAGGATTCGCTTGCGGCGCTATCGAGACTTGTGGTAGAGGAAGGGCCGCGATACTTGCGGAAGGCATCGCCGCTGGAAGGCCGACTGATACGTGGTGAATGGCCTATGGGTCTATCCTCCAGGGCATGGTAGATGGCCGACAGAGATGCGGCCTCGTCTTCAGGCGGCGAGTTCCGCCAGCGCTGAATGGCCAATGACTGACCCTCTTCGTGTCGAGGACTTCCACTCGGTATCACCATCGGGCTGACAGTGCCCGTTGATCTTCGCTTAAAGTACTTGCTTCGACGGCGGGGGAGTGTGTGATGACGCTGCGGTTGTGGGCGCTCGTGAAACTCAGTCGGCTGGTACGCGTCGAATGGATAACTTGGTGAAGTCATACCACTCAATGGTTGCAATGTGTCTCCCAACGTAAAGTCTTGGAGGTTCGGGTCGATTGCCAAGTCGTCGTCGATGCTGAATGCGGCAGGAGCATCAGGTGCAGCGTTAGTCGCACCCTGGCCGACATCTGTAGCGAGGAAGTTGTCGAACCATGAAGGGTCGATCGTATCTTCGTTCCATGATTGAAAATTCCAGTTGTCCACTTGTTGATGATCCATGGCTCTAGAAGTCGCGAGTGTTGTTTTGGCGATGATGACGATGGCTGGAAATGGATGTAGGACGAAGGCGTCAGCCCGAAGTCGGCGCCGCTACCGATGCAATCCTACCAAGTGATCGCGTATAGATCTAGGTTAGCAAGCGAATGCAGTACACTGCAAAGGACCTCGGGCTGTCTCTGGCCGACTGCTAGATATTGCGAGGCATGCAAGGCGTAGGGCGTGAGGTGGGGCGAACTTCAGAACGCGCTAGCCCCGCGATCTAGACAATTCTTCCCTCTAGCGCAACAGGACCGGAAGTTCACGACGCGACATAACGTGACTTGCGATACGATGGAAGACGATAACGAGAAGGCTGTCGCGGAGCAACACGAGCAAGTGCTAGAAGGAGTTTTCGGTAGGTGATCTCACCGTCTCCCACCCACACCTGGCTGCTGACTCTATATAGCTGTGGTGAAGCCTGCGAATGTCTCTTCAGCAGACGTACTTCTCAAACTCCAGTCAACATTCGCTTCATCCGCTACCTTTGCGCCACTTCGCAAGCACCAACCGAAACGCACCAGCAAATCCTCCGACCAAGTATTCCGCCTAGGTCATGGCGGCACGCTCGATCCCCTGGCCTCCGGCGTGCTCATCGTAGGCATCGGACGTGGCACAAGATCGCTCTCACAGTACCTAGCATGTGACAAAAGCTACGACACCACCATTTTATTTGGCATGAGTACCGACAGCTACGACTGTACTGGAACTATGGAGACAAGAGCAGACGCCTCGCACGTGACTCGTCAGCTTGTCGAGGAACAACTGCCCAACTTTCTAGGAACCATCCAGCAAGTCCCACCCGTGTACTCTGCACTGAAAATAAACGGCATCAAGGCTTGCGATTATGTGCGACAGGGCAAGGAGTTGCCTCACGCTTTGGAAAGTAGGGAAATGGAAGTGAAGAGGTGTGATTTACTGGAATGGTATGATGCGGGACAGCATGACTTCGCCTTCCCCGGCGAGAAGACACCGGCCTCAGCACCTGCGGCACGGATTAGATTGACGGTATGTTCTGGCTTCTACGTTCGCAGCTTTGCGCACGATCTAGGTGTCGCTTGCGGTACTGTTTCGCACATGGTCGCGCTGAAGCGCGAGGTGCAAGCCAATTTCGTGCTCCAGCAATCTCCGTTTCCGGAAGATACCCCTGCTATAACGTATGATGATCTGGATGCTGGTGAATCTGTCTGGGGCCCCAAGCTCAGACCACAGCTCGAGGAATGGGTCGCGTCCAATCCAGTCAACCAAGGTCATGTCAACGGGCGAGAAGGAAGCACGAAGAGGAAGATGGCACAAGAGGGAGAAGCAAAGCTCAGACAGAGGTTCCGCGGAGAATGGGTTGCTGAAACGAAGAGAGAGAGGATTAAGCAGCAAGGTGGCAAGTACAAGGGGAAATGGGGACGGAAGCCCGAGGTTGAAGCAGCTATCAAACATTTTACGCGGGATATCAGTAAGTATCAATGATACAGCGGCGCCCCATAACTCCTCAGCAAACCCAACCACTCCGCACTCCGATCCGTTAACTCGCAGCACTCGAGCATAGTCCATGTCCCTAACTCGCCGCACGGCTGCGCCTTGCTGTTTAAGACCAAACTCCTGCCATCCACCACGCCGTTCTGGAGTAACTTCTCCATACCGATGTAGTTGTCTTTCCGAATCGCCGACAAAATCGCCGAAAGCCTGGGTCGCTGCAACGCATATCCGACATCCCATTGGACCACCATATCGATCAGCTCAAGGTACTGGGTCTGGACTTCTGGTCTGGTGGGTGGAGTGCAGTGCAGCAGCATGTCGTATATGGGCGGTAGAGCGGCGATTTGTTCGCGCAGGGCTGCTGCAGAGATGGCGTTGAGAAGGACGCGCACTGCGTCTTTGTTGGAGCCCTTTATGGCATAGCTCAAGGCGTCGTATGTTAGTTCTGGGGCGAGGCCGATCATTTCTTCGAGCATTGTTGTGTTGGTCGGACTGTTTTGGTACGCGGCGAACTGCAGGACGTTCATGTCTTCGAAAGCTGGGTCGCGGGGATGTGCGCCTGCTCTGAGAAGCACACGCGCTGTCTCCAGCGAGTCGAGTGAGAGGGCAGTGGCGAGTGGTAGTGCTTTGGTCTCTTTTTTGTTTCGTCGGAAGGAGATTTCCTCTCGTACCAAACTGCCTTTGGTCTGCAAGATGAGTTCGACCGCCTGTGCAGCGTCTGCTGAGATCGCACGGCTAAGCGCTGTCCTTGGGCCCAGATCTGTGGCTGTCCGTTGCGTGAGACATAGATTGAAGCCTCTGTCGATCAGTAGCCTTAGTATGCGAAGTGCGTCTTCCGGTCGCTTCTCCCAGGTTTCTTTCGTCAATGCATTGATTGGTGATACGACTCTTGTAAGCTTCTCCTGATGCAGCAAGACATCGTCTTCTTTCTCGTAGTCCCTCGGCATGCCTTTCATGCTCAACATCTCTTCCACCGCATCTGCCCATCCGGCACGAATGAAGCAAGACAGAACAGAGTACTCGTACGTCGTCTGCCACGGGCGATTTGGAACACCGGAATTCTTTGTTTCGCTCTTGTTGTCGAATGCGCCGGAAACAAAGGCCGTGGGATCGAAGTTTTGATGCTGCATGACGAGTTTAATGGTACTCATACCGCGATCGACATTCTTCCACTTCGAAAGGCCATCGAGGAAGCTCGTCTTCGTGACGCGAACTTGGATCTCATTCCAGTAGTGTTGCGCGTCATACATCTCCCTTGGCCATTGCTCGGCCATTGGGTTTGCGCCATGATGTACAAGACAGTCGATGAGGTCTGCGTGTCCCTTATAGGCAGCCGCCAACAGTGCGCGATCCATCGGAGTGTAGTCTTCTCTTTTTGTTGCGTCTCCGTAAGTGGCACCCTCTCTCAAGAGATAGTCGACCACTCTGGCTCGTCCGTTCATGGTAGCTTTCGCTAGGGCCTCGTGCTTCACCTTCTTCAACTTACTAGTTGATCGATACATAGGATCAGCTCCCATACTAATGACTGCCCTAACCAGTGAAAGACTACCCTCTGCAGCAGCTTCTTCGAGAATATCGGTCAGGTCGTTTTGTGATGGACTACTAGCTGGATTTGGCGTAGTAGCC